TGTGATCAGTCGGTTTTCGGCTGTTCGGGATTTTGTTTTGTCTTCTTTTTGGACTTGCAGAACTTGCCAAAAAACGTCTTCTTTTTCGATTTCGGTTTTCCGGCGTTTTCCGCCGCTTCGTCGACGTGATCCTCCTTACCCGGCGAATCCGGAACCGACGGTGTCGTCGCGTTTCCAGTCGGCGGTGCAGGCTGTGCAGGTGTCGTCGGACAAGGTTGCTCTCCTTCCGTTTGAACGGCTGCTTTGGTTGTTGTGGGGTCGGTTGCAGTTGATGGCCGTTCAACTATGCCGTCGTCTTCGGCTGTGGTTTTGCAGTAAGCCGTCCCGTCATCGTCTTCGTCCTCCTCGTCGTCGTCATCGGCACCGCCGCCGCCAGTAACCGTCACCACGAATAAACGGTCGACGATCCGTCTGTAGATGCATGCGTGCCGACCGGTTAGGTTCGTGACTTCCTCGTGACATCTGTCGCCGAAGTACTCGTGGAGCAACCACCGTTTGCAATCTTCGCACAACGTGCTCGAGCTATTGCACCGCCGACCGTCGTTACGAGCGAGATTCGGGTCGTCGTTGTCGTCCTCGCAGCCGCCGCCTAGGCCCGTCGTATTTGCATCATCAGTCTCGCGACCGTCGTCACTCTCCGTCCGCTTGTTTATGGCCGTACAGCCGTCCTCCTCCGGGACCGCCGCGGCGTCCACACCGCGGTCCACCGCTGGCGGGACTTCTGCGGCTCCACTACCACCCGCCGCCGGGGAGACCTCCGAGGCCCCTCCGCCGTCGGCCACTGTGACTTCCGAGGCCCCTCCACCGTCTGCACCCGACGGCCGATCGGCCATGGATATCCACACGGATCCCCAGCGTAGGCCCACGTTGTACTGTTGGCCGCCAGCGGAGTACGTGCCTAGTCTGATGGAACCGGGCATAAACCGTTTCTCCCGGCCGCGCGAACGACCACCACCGCTGCCGCTTGTTAAGGCTGTAGGCCCGTGGACGGTCGACTTGTGCGGCCGCGGCTTCCTGTTCGGATCCACCTCGTAGATTTGTCGTTCCGGCACGCCCCGAACCAACAGTTCTTCGTGCAACTTCGCCGCCTGTTCCATCGGCAATACCAGCACATAATTCAATTTCAAAGTCGCTTCTAGACCGCCAATCCCCGTACAACTGCAGTGCATTGTAGCCGTGTGCAAGAAGTTTATATAAAGAGACGGTGCATGCGGCACCAATCGCTTGTTGTTGGCGATTCGTGCAATCTCCAATGTTGGTTTATTGCTTATCTGTTGTACGAGTTATTGACGCAGTTTCCATGGTGAGCTTCACCAAGCAACCACCATACCTAGGTTAGGTATCTATAGTATATTATTATCATACGTATGCAAATTATGTGTTAATGTTATGTATTTGTGGAATGATTTGGTATACATTTTTGGTAATTTTTGCAAGCCTCGACATAAATGGGTTAAAAAGTTAATGTTTTAACTTAACTGATAAAAGAAAAAATAGGATAACTATAAACTTTAAACTTTTCAAAATGTTTTGTATCAACTTAATTTAACCCAGTAAAAAATGATTATTAATTTGCCCAGGCTTGAATTTTTGTACAATGTAAGATGAAACTGAGGTGAAAGATACTATCGTGGCTCCCACCTCAGTCGCAATACCACACGGGAAAAAGCTTGGTCAAAAGCCATCACGGTCATCCAATACGACCATTTGGTCTCAACATCCAGCAATACCACTATCCTGATAATGTCTGTAAAAACGACGATGCAAATATATTTTTAAAGTATTTATTAATTAAATTAATAAAATATTATATTATTATTTATTATTATACAAATATACTATATATAGTAAGGATGATCAAACTTTTTTAAATTATGAAACTATTGAGAATATATTTTTCTTGTAGGAAACGACTTACGTAAACAATATTATTATTATTTGTTTTTATATTTGGTAAAATGCTTGTTAATATTACATATTTTTATTTTTTAAGTTTTTAAGTCTTCATCACTAATATAAAAAATAAACATACTTATACTAATAATACGATTAAATATTGTAAATGTACACTTGAAAGTTGAAGCTATCTAAAAATGAATGTTTAGCGTTGGATTTCAAAATAATTTCAAAATAAATTGACATTATAGGTGCTATTAGCCATTTAGTGTATATGGGCTATTTAATCATTGGCTATTTAATTATAATCTGAAGAATAGTCCGTAACTGCTAAAAGAAAAAGCTGCTCTTAATGATCATCAGATATTGCAGCTCTGTATTGAACTTTCATTTCTTATATGTGAGATAATGTCATTTACACAGGCTGAAAATATGCATGTTTCTACTAAATGTACAGTAATAATAGGTACATTCTAACAAGTGTCGACAAAATTTAAAATCTTCAGAGATCGATTAGTCGATCGCAATCGACTGTTCGGCCGCCCCTTCTATAAAGAATGAAATCGCGTAGCTCGTATTATGTGCCGCCGCAGTTTGTAGAACAAGAATGGGATTAGCTATTATTAATGTTTGTTCGTCGGGAGCAAAAAAGTATACCACGGGTAGTTAAAAATCATACATCACCGTTTAAGAATTCATTATATATAGGTAACTAAACACGTACAACGCTGCGCATACAGGACGATGATGACCTTAAATTGAATATTATATTTCCACATTTCGATGTATATGCGGGGGTGTATGCTTTATTATTTTCAATTTTCAATACCTATACTTTAAGATTCTTACATTTTATTATTTTAATATAACTCCAGGTTACACCTAACTCATAGACTTCAATGCTCTAATTATTTTATTTTTTCTATTGAGTTCTAATGTATTAAATAAGTACCCACCTAATTTTGTTTTTTGTTTTGCTTCAATATTTTAAAAAAATGATTAAATAGTATACAATTTACCATACATATGTACAAGGCTCGGTACTTAATGCATTTGCATATGTCTTAGAAAGCTGCATATTAAAAATCGGATTCGATACAATATAATCGTTTCATAGAACATGACAATTTAAATTAAAAAAAGTGTATGTTGCATATTTTTGCACATTCAACTTCACATGATTTTGTATATTTAAAGATTTTAAGCATATAAATTATAAATATATATTATATTAGTAAATAACCGATTTAAAAAATTTAAAAATAAAGGGCCACCACACACCTCTATATTTTGAATTTTACTATACCAAGATGACCGGCCGGGTTACACACTTATACCTTATATTAATATTTGATTACTTATAACTGTCGTTTGATAACATCTGCTTGTGTTTAGTGTGTTCATGTTAGCGACCGCGATCGCATACCGCATAATAATTATTGTAATTTGATTTTGTATCCATATTTGAAAAACAAGTTAATATGCCTAAAGAGAACACATCTTTTACATACGCTCGAGGCTGAGTTTGGTGAAAATGTTTTCAGTACCTATTGATTCTAAGGTATTGTTTTGAAAATATTGTGAAACGACAATCGATTCGGAAAGACGATCCAATGCATAATAACATGATTTAACTTATAGATTTATATTTTTATATTTAGGACTGAATAAACAAAATTAACTTTTTTACAAACAAACTATACTAACAAAATCTACAAACCAAAAATAAAAAATAAACATTTATATTTATCTATAATTAAATCATAATTATTTATTTTTTAGGTTTATTAAAATATATAAATGCCTACACGTTTATTTAAAAAATAACTGCATATTGTACTGCTTAATATTACATATTTAAACCTTTTTTAGTGCATATGTAATAATATAGTTTCGAGCCCTGTTTATATACCTATATATAATATATATTTTTATTTTTTATTAATAATCTCTAAAATGTAAACATGTTTAGTATAAAATATTCCAACTAAAGAAATAATGTGTTAATTACCTTGTTTATTTGTTTATTTTCAACTATCTTATACTGACATATTATTATGTATTTAAATTTTAAACTGTGCAAAGCTAAGTACACTATAGTTCTATCAATATTTTACTAATAACTTTTATTTTATAAAATTTCTGTACCAGCGTTAAAAAAATATAATTAGTATGGGTTTCTATTTTTCTATTATCAACCACAAACTACATTACCTAGAGTCAATTAGTTATTTTTATTTTTATTATTTACCTACAAATAAAAATAATGTATTAATATAAAGGTATTTATTTTCTTTTTATGTTTTTACATATTGTTACTGAGTATATATTATGTAGTCTTATGGGAGTAAAATATGTTTATTGTATATAGCACAGTAGACTATAGTATAGTTGGCATAGTTCAACAGATAACTGTCCGTAGGTCCGTTAGTTTTAAACATTTCAAACTCAGATTTATTGTTGGTTAATATTTTGTTTAAGAAATACCATTTCACATCAAAAAAGTTCTTAACAATTTCAAAATCCAAAACATATCTTTGAGGAAAAAAAACGATACTATTTTAATTTTTAACCACACTTGTCAAGAGCCCCGTAGGGATACTTAATATATGGTGAAGGCCCAATGCACTCTCTCTGCACACTCAGTGTAGATCTACACTACCGCACTGACTGTCATATCATTTATAAATTTTGAATATTTCCGTACTTTCTACATATTAATTGACAATTATGCATAGTTATATAATTTATACTCATAAAATATACTTACCTATATAGGTAATGGTGTAATGTTTTACATTATAAAAAGGAAAGAAACTCACTACTATAGTATTATATTATGTACAATTCATATTATGAAATGATTGAAATGAACAAGACGCGTGTAGAATATAAAATATAAAATATATACTTTTTATTGTATGTAAGATGTTAAATGAAAAAAAATTAAATATTAGAGGTTATATGATGAACGTTAAATAATTTTTTGTTGAAAAAAAAAATAAAATGTTCTAAGTTCTCACAAAATGACTAGACCTAATACATATATTATTTTGCGAACAATAAATAGTTTTGTTATTACTACGTATTGGTCATACAACATATAAATATTTTTAATAACGATAGGTTATAATATAATACATATATACATATAATACAATATAAGTGCGCGGCTGGATAATAAAATCGAAATACAATCATTGGTCATCGGCGTTATGATTATGTAAGTGTGACATCAAATCATCCCAGGTCAACGATGGCAGGCAAGGACAACCGTTGAGTACAGCGTAAATGAAACAATCCTTTTGATTATTAATGGCCGCGGCTACAGGTGTAAACATGTTCCATTGGCACCCGTTGATATGCGCATACTTAAGGCATTCGATATGGCCGTTCCTCGCTGCTGAGTGGCAGGTACTTTGATCCCAAGCACACCCATTTTCGTGTGCATACCTCAGAACTTCTAGGTGCCCATTGAGTGCTGCAAGCATGCACGTCGACTCGTTCCAGGGGCAATTTTCACTCCGCAGGAACTTAAGTAATTCCAGCTGATTGTGTTCAGCAGCCGCCGCAGTCGTTGTTTCGTCGCAGGGGAAGCCCGACGATCGTAAGTAGCGCAATAACTCCAAGTGGCCGTGCCGAGAGACCTCCGTGCACAAGTTTCTCGGGTGCGGGAACCCGTTATTCAACGCGTACTCCAACGTTGAAATCTGGCCGGCGCTGGCCGCGGACAACGCGGAAACGTTTCCGCCAGTGTCGCAACCGTTCGTATGCAAATAAGTCAAGCAATCGAGGTGCCCGTATCGGCAGGCCAACTCGACCGAGCGCCAGTTCCAAGGTATGCCCGCGACATGCGCCTGTCGCAAGCAGTCCAAGTGTCCGAAAGAGGAAGCTTCAGAGCACACATCTAACTTATTGGCATCCGGTTTAATTTCCCGCAACCTATCGCCGGGTGCCATCAGGTAATTGCAGCATGCCTTCAAGTCGACCCGCACTCCATGGGCCTTCGTATCGTACAATTCACGCTCCTCGGGACTACACCTATAGTACGCAAGCTTGAGCATGGAGAACGGCATCGCGAATTTTCTCGACGTGTCATTATTATCCACATGTGATTCGTGTTCGTCCATATTTTGTAACCTGACGTAACCTGCAGCTGACGTTGTTTGCTTTGTACGACGTTGACTTGGGTCTATACCACGAATCACGGTTATCACCACCTATAAAAATGTTTTAAAAACATATTAGTATAATATTGTTGTTGGAAACGCACCTACATTACTTATTATATAACTAGCTGTAACGCGTGTGAAAATTTCATAAAATATATTTCTCAAATTATGGAAAAAATAAATAAATATTGACTATAATGTAAATTATATAATTTTCTTTCATAGTATGTTTAATTTAAATACGTTCATGTCCGCGTCAAATTCAGTGGTCGAGCGCATCCAGCCGGGTAAATATTGATAACATCACACTAGTCATACCATATCATATTGATAACATGTTTTATAAGCATAAAAATGCCGGGAAACCGAAACCAGCTGTTTGTTGTTGTTCTAATACTTATACTGAATGGCCGTGCTGATGGAAAATAATCGAATATTAATTCGTTTGCCATCAGCCGACGATTTTATATAACCTACAAAAATAATTGTGATATGACGACTACGGGTCGTCATCGGCGTAGAACATGTTTAAAATATAAGTTCTAGATTCCCCGTGTAAACATTTTGTTATAGCCATGCTAATATTTTAAACAATAATGTTGAAAAATAGTCAAAAGGACAACAATTGGTCAGCAATTATATTAAAATTATAAAATTATGTAATATTAATATACTATATTAATTGTATCAATTTTGTCGTAGGGTATAGGCATATAGTATTTTAATTTTTTTAAAGATTAAACGATCCAACTCTTGTCTTTAGTCTCGTACGTCTCTTATAAAATCTAAAGGTAAGATTATTATCTAGGCAACCTCTTTATTATATTTTTATTTTAACGCGAGTTATAAGTATTTTAAGATGTATAACAAATTTACAATTTTAAAATTCTCATAACTCGCGTTAAAATTAAAATATAATAAAAAACCTATGAGATTGCCTAGATAATAATCTTACCTTTAGATTTTATAAGATGTCAATTCGCACTATTTTTTAAACTAACGGAGCTACACTTGTTCTGCTGAGCGTAAAATTTGCTATGTTACGCACTTGTAAGACAGAGACAATACATGCAGGTATCACGTCCTCTTAAGTGTCTCGGTAAAAAATGTATACAAATTAAAAACACGGTGAGTTTCACGGAAAAATTCAAATTTGTCAACGGAACAAGTACATAACTGTACAACAATGAAGTACGGCAAAACAGAAAATTTTTCAGAAAATCAGTTTCAAGATCATGTATGCAGTATAATAATAATAATAGTATAAAATTAAAAATACTCACTGTCACAGATTTTGATTGTTCGTTTGATTGTTCGCTTGTTTACCTGTGTACACCATTTGCGTCGTCTGTGTTCTGAGCTGCTGGACGGTACCGGCATGAAAAACAAGCAGAATGTTGTGAAAATCGGCACCACTGGAATGTGCTCAGCGGCAGTGTGTACGTCCTGATTTTGCAGGATTTTGATTCAGTGGGGGTTAGCTAGCCTGTAGAGTAGATATGGGGGTGTGTAAGCGTACTATGCGACAGGCAACATCTGGCACCGTGGGTGGCTTAAGTGATGGATGTACGGTTACAAAATAGGTATCGGCCAAGGACGGATTAATAGTAAGAATCCCGTGATCTTTTTTATTTAGCACGTTTTCACATATCATAAAAATACCCAATGATTAGATCACTTGCGTTATGTCCTAAAAAGATAAAACATTAGCTATGTTCTACCTATTAATTAGTGACCTACATACATTGGTGTTTTGTTATTTTACCGGACACTCTTTTTTTGCAATATTTTTTTTTAGACTTATGTAGTTAACTATATTAAAACAATAGTGAAGTCAGAATTTGGCGGTCGGCATTAGTTCCGAAGTTATGGCCTAATGAAATTCTATATTTTGCGATTTTTATGCATTCGCGCATCACTCTAGTTTACCACGCCTATTACGAACATTGATGTTCTTTTTTCGCTCCTACCTGTAAACAATAGCAATCGATCAATAATTATCGTAGTATAGGTTTAGTACATAAGTTCGTTAGTCATATATATTGTATAATATAATTTATCAATCGGAATTCGGAATATAATATGAACGACGAGAACGACTTATCAGTTAGAATAGGACTGTATGACCGATATGAAGTGTTCGTCGGTACCACGGTATTCTGTCTTAACTTATTTTATTTGAGTTTCGAGCATGGTTGAAGCATAGGTAGATAGTACGGGAGTAGCACAGAAATATAGTACAATTATGCTAGCGCTATCTATAACCACTGTTTCACTCAAAAGCGAAACGTAATACACTTTTCATAATTTAAACATAAAAGTATAAAAATATGAATTAATCATTTTAATATGTAATTTTATTCGAAGTTTTTAAATATATTGTTTAAATGGCAATGTTATTACGAGATAAAGATTATCGTTCGAACACCGCGGACGCGTTTTCGCGCCACCGTAGTTTCGGCGAAGTCCCCAAAGCTGCTCCTCGAATGCCGAAGCTCACGAGGGGGCTTACCCCCTCCTGGGCCGTCCAACGCCGGGCCTTTCGCTGCCGTGGGCTGTGCCGCAAGTCGGCGTGTCTTTTCCAGGCGGTCGAGCCCGACGCATCGTTGCGTTCGCTCGTCGCGTTTGCCGTCTGGCGACTATCACCGCGCGTACCTGCAGCCGACGCGTTTGTTGTTAAGTCGTCGAGCTTGTAAATTACTAAGTAGTCGTTTCACGGGTTGGAAGACGCATCGCGTTTATTGAAAACTCCAAGATACTTGCCACCCGAGATAGTCGGGAGGATTATTTTACCGTATTCTCGCTACCCGTGAGTGTTGTGGCTGTCGATGCGAGTGAAGAGTTGTCGCCACTTCAGCATCGGACCAAAGAGTTGCCGTCGCTGACGTGTCACGCGTGTGGTCATCTTAGCCGTGCCTTATAGTCGTCAAGTTTTTGGTTTATATACCTATTATATTTTATTATTATATTTTGTTTTGTACAACGTCGGTCGCGTGACTTACTATAGTTATCGCGAAGTTAAGTGTATTATCATTTTGTAATCATTTGGGCGCCCACCTATTAATTATTATTTATACTATTGCTTTATTATATGCCATTATTTACGTTCAGTAACATTTAGTACCAATTATTTATATATAAAGCTATTCGTTACTTTGGGTAACCCTTCCCGTCTACAGCACCCCGCAAGTCGTTGCCGCTAACCGCGAGATACATAAGTAGATGCGGCGTGGCGCAACATTTTTGGTAGCAGAGCGTGGTTATCCGACCTCACAAGGAGGTTCGGTAGCGGTTTGTTCTGGACGTGTTAGTTGTGTTTGCCCTGATATTTTGGGTACCGAGTATAGTGCTAGGGTGTTCACCGGAGGTTGACAATATTATTGTATAGGTTTATTGGTTGACCGGTCTTCCCCGGTTGGTGAACATTTTTAATTTTAATTTATTATTACACTTGAAATTAAATTTATTTAATACGCGCTGCGTGCCAATGGTATAGGTATCCGATATAACTATATTATATTATAATAGTTAGCTGCGTCGGTTGCAGTGTTTGTGGCGCCGTTAAATATCCTACAATGATCGGCGGTTGTCGGCAACGACTCGCGTGTTATGTTGTAGACAGGAGCGGAATGGGTTATCCAAGTATATGCAAAATAATATCACGTCAGATAATTCTAAGGTGCTTAAGACACCGATCGACAGAATATATTGAACAATACAAATATCAAATTAAATAATAATAATAATAATAATAATAAATGAACTGGTGGTATAGGGCGCCCAGGAATAATTACCACTACATGTATATATATATTTATATAAATAACAATATCAGTACACAATATAGTATAAAATTACAAAAAAATAATGATTTACAAAATAATAAGGACGACCTGGTTCGTTGCAACTTGCCCGACGATGCCCGTAGCCTGGTCGATGATGGCAGATTCCGGTGTGTGGCACAAAGAGACAGCATACACAAGATCGGTGGGCGGACAGATACGTGTGTCGGGCCCAACCGTTGGCAAAAGACAAAAAAACGGAAACCTTGTCGGTCAACGGTCTGGCTATCGCCAGGCGAACTGTCGCCGGACACTGGAGGGGAGAACTTGCTAAAGTCGCTTTTATCTCCCCCACCCCGTGATGTCAGAAGAAAAATGTAAATGTATATATTATATGGCCGAATCGCTCCGCGCTCGAACAGTGTTGATATCAGCTGTACTTAGATTACAGCCTATAGGTAATTACGACGGCCACTATCTGGATATCGTCGATATATCCAGAGCGTAGTGAATTATATTACGTGTATTGCACCGGTCGTTATTTTTGATATCGTCGAGAAAATATTATCTGTACTATAACTAATTAGTCGTTTTTTCGCTACGTTGATATTTTCGATAGTTCGAAATATCTACTGTACTAACGTGACGGAATTTGCGACGGTCGTTGAATTGATATCGCTCATAGGTGTATCAATATTATTATTTATTATTTGTACCGGTCGCTTTGCGGTTCGTGCGGCGCGGCGCGGCGCAACAATTATTATTATTATTAGATTCGTGACCAGAGTCACTATATACTTAGATTACTTATATTTTATAATAATATATTTTGATATAAAATATTTGTCATTTGGATAATTTACAACTATAAGTTTAACTTAACACTGAAACATTGATCAATATTTAAAACTAATTATATTCCTTTGAATCAGGGAAATTTCCATAACTACATTCCCCGAAATTTGCGCATCACTAGACTGTCCGGCTAACAAATTCTAGTTGCGCAATCGTTCTCAATTCGTTTAAGTACATACGTTTCCAAAAAAAAATAACATAAATAGTAATAATAGCCTTAATAAATTAGAATGAGTAAAAATTGCAAAATTGCGAACTTCATTTGGCCATAACTTCGAAATTAAGTCCGACCACCAAATTCTAACTTCACCATCGTTTTCAGTATAGCTAACAACAAAGGTCTAAAAAAAATTGCAAAAAAAGTGTGTCCGGTAAAGTAACAAAGTCCGAATACATTAAACAATGAAACCTTTTAACCCTTCTGAGTATTACTATTTTTTCATATAGTGAAACTTAATTTTCTTACCCATTTTCACACAAATTATCTGCGACATTGTAAGTAAGTTAACAATGTTGTTTTACAGTTTTTATTCATATTTAAGGTTCTGAGCAGAGCGATGTATGTATTGAATTTACAATGATGGGGTTTTTAATTATTTCAAGGACTAAGATAGAATGGACTGGAAACAACAAACAAATGGGCGGTCGCTGGTGGTAAGCTGGGCAGGGCCGTTTAAGGTTTAGAGCAAGCTTGTGAAGCGGGGAATTCAGAAATGTTCGGGGAGAAATGCATGCATGTGCGAATCTAGTGTTACCTATTTAGGTACTTAATACTATCAAATAAATATTAAACAATGAATATTTTTCAAAAAATCAAAACCAATCCGCATATACTTATTAACTAGAGGTCCTAGGTAATATACAAATATGTTTTTTTTAGTCGTATGTATAAAGAATGTATGTATTATTTAATCACCTGAATATTATAATATTACGTGTAATAATTCCTAAATAAACAAAACAATTAGGTACTAAAATAAAAATAAATAAGCAATTTATACCAACCATTTATATAAATATCTTATTATAAATACTCTTACTATACAAGTATTTAATACAGAAAATAATAATAATAATTTATAATTAATACAACGTAATGTATTTTTTCTAGCTTTAAAAGGTGAAAATTTAATATACTAACTTTTCTAATTTATTTTCCTGGCAATAATATTATATTCTTAATAGAGAAATAGAGTTGATAAATTGTCTTTGGTGAACTGAACGATAACCGTAAATAATTATTAAATGTTTTTAATGTAGAAAACACCCACTTTCATTACTACATGGCATACGAATTAATATTTTTAAAGCAATTTCAATATTTGATAGTACTGTGTTTAAATATGCACAGTGCCAAAGCCAGGGATTTAATAAGTAGAGGGGGAGGTGGATTATCATATTAATAATCACATATTACATATACTTTCCATGTTGTAAGTGAGGGGTTGAAGTCCCCCCGTGTCTACGCCCTGAAGATGCACTATATTGTACACGCATAATTATTTAGGTATATAATTTCGTATTTACTAACTTGACGTATTTTATCGTGACAATGAAAACTGTTGTGTTATATAGTAGTGTATAGGGCGTTTTAAACCCGATTTAAACATTTAGTGGACCATCACTGATATCCATTAAATTGTATTAAATCATTAAATTGATACATTTTTCATACTACCCGACACGTTCAAGCTCTATGCGTACAGATTCCTTGGTCTTAATCATAAACACAAAATTGTTACAAATTTGACTTTAAACAACGAGTAGATAACGTCAATAATTATTGTAAAAAATTCTACTTCTAGGAAAATAAATATGGAATATTCTAAATATTTATATTTACTATTTATTGTGTAGAATTATTAATTAATATGCAAGTAAATATGATATACCCTCATGGGTGCATAGCCAACAGTTATCCATTATTGCATTAAAGTTTATTATAAATAGTTAGTTTTTTTACTATTATATAAGTGTGAATTGTGAAATGGTTATATTTTTAGGACATTATAACATAAGTATGAATCCAAAAAATACTTTATATTCGTTCTCAACAAATAAAAAATTGAGTTTTGAAAATGTTGAGATGGTTAAAATTTAAATTTAGGTATACATTTCAATATATTAGAAAATTACCTTTTAGTATGTATTAATTTATGCGCTAATTAAAGACGATTAAATCCTTTATAAGAAACATTACGAGTAATTCTGTCACTAAATGTTTTATATTTTTATATTAACAATATTAAATCTCAAGTAAGTAACATACTAACATGTGTGTTAGGTATATATACGAGTATATAGTACAATTTGGGTAACATATTTTGTATTGGTGATGTAAAAACATTGTTACAATTTAAGGCAACATGGGTAGTGAGTGTTAGTGAGTCACTAACACTCACTAATAGTGACTACTGGATAAATTCATGTCCCCCAACTCATGGGAATCCTATATGCGCCTCTGATATACTGTTTTATAAACCTAAACAATAATATTAGGATTGTCAACGGTCGTTATTATTATCGGTATGAATACACAAGTTATGTACAAAAGGTAAATATTATTCGGGCTGATTTAACTCGGATAACATAATATTATAACGAATAAACATATGTTGGTCACAATTCGGACTACACCTTTTCTGCAGTTTGGGAAGCACTTCAGTGTGCAGCTGTTTCAAATCTACCTACATTGTAATGGCCGATTCGATGCAGTGTCCGAAAAAAAGACGGAGATAATGCTGAGATACATCTTGTGTCTCGAAAAGGGATGGTATTATTTTAATAGTGTATCGGATGTGCGGCAGGGTAGTGGTGACGGCGGCCGGCGGCCGGCTTCGAGCAGTTGTTATTGTTAAAAATTGTGTCGTGGTGCGGCGATGCCAACATCAGGGTTTTTTGGTCGCATTCCTTACTAAATAATACATAAGGAGAGATGGACACATAATGTGTGTGTGTGAGAGAGAGAAAAAGAGAAAGAGAGAAAGAGTGAGAGGGAAAGAGAGAGAGATATTGTAGCGATGGTGCAGCTGACCGACGTTGTGCGACTTCTTGCGGTATACGGACGATGCCTACGCGGGGCGTTTTTTCGTTATATTCCTTTACACACACAAAGAGAGAAAAATACACTGTAATGTTATGATGGTTCAACAGGCCGAGTGTATACAATATACAAGACGTGTTCGGCAATAGAAGTAAATAATATAATAATACGAAGGGAGCGTACAATGCTGTATCGGTTATAATGTCAAGGTCGCATTTTGAGGAACCCGAAACCGAACAGAAACGATATTATTCATTGACGGGGAGGGGGGGGGAATAATATACGCTTACATTGAATCGAAATCAAAATATCAAAACTAACTCGTATAATTGTTAAAATCATTATAAAAACAAACATTTATTGAAACAACAATTGACTGTACAAAAAAAAATGTATATTGTACATAGGTATTACATATTATAGTATCTATACATACAAATATATATATATATTTTTTATTTTTTTTAATTATCGACTTTATGTTTTAAAACATTAGATCAGTGCATCTCAACCTTATACCTCTACATGCCTCCTTAATTGAGATCCATAGAATGGTGACACATTTGAAACGTTTCACAGTTAAAGAATTTGTGAAAAAGTAACAATTTTAAACCAGCTATATATAAATTATAAATGAGACTATCCGCACAATTGTTTTTCTTATTTGTGGTTGTTATACCTTAACGTCATAACGGCAGAATAATGCCATAATAATTAATATTATATTTATACTTTGAACATGTAAAATATAAAAAAACAATTTTTTGGCGAAACACATCACTGAGATATACCATATACGACATATCGGTTGAGAAGTGAGAACTTACTGCCTTAGATACTTCAAAGATACCTCAAAGAAGGCTTGTCTGATATAGTTAGTTTAAAAAAAGTTATAAAATCGAGTTATAAAATTGAGCGTGTTTTACCTTTTCGAGTATACGAATGCTTGCAGTGCCGGTGTCGCAGGTTTCTAATACCCCCAAATATTTTTACCGGGGGGGGGTAACATTATCCTAGGAAAACTTTACCGGGGGTAAAATTAACCTAGTATATTTTTACCGGGGGTAAAATAAACCTAGGATATTTATACCCCCGGTAAAATTGTATGGGAGGTAAAATTATCCTAGGTTAATTTTACCCCCCGGTAAAAATATACTAGGATATTATTACCCCCCAG